ACTTTGTTTGTGATTGTTATTCCTTAAGACTACATATATCTTGAAAATGGCTTCAAGTGAATGTCATTCTAACTTTTGTTTCTAGGTCTGGAAGAAAGTGGTATATGTAGATAGATTACTGCAGCTCTTCAGATATGTTCATCGTGAGCAGTTGTTGACCATCCCTGACTTTGTGTTCCAGTTGAGTTTCTATGTTCCTTCCCCCACTTATCCCACTCCAATTTTTATAGCAACTTGGATTTAAAATTCCCAATTTTTATAATCAATGCATGCACGATTTAGAAGTCAATGGTGGGAAGGGCCTTATTGTTCTGTTTCTGCAAATTTTCAATCTCTGTATCATAAGACAATAATATATATTTGCACTTACGGTACATGGCTTATGAATTCTTATCTTACTCTTAAATGTTGTGCCTACTTGGTATATATTTGCACTAATGGTACATGGCTTATTTCGTTAAGAGTTTAATTTCATCTACAAGAAAATAATATACTTGAAATCTTTTATTTATCTGAACCTCAATTCAATTTGCAGGAAATTCAAAAGAGGGTATTTTTGTGTGGTACATGGCTTACTCTCTACCTCATCACATGATCATTTAATTTCTAGTTGAAACAGGAGTGGGATCCATTTAATGACTTGCTGTTATCTAATTAGATTGGTTGACAAATTAGATTTTCTTGTTGACCAATATGATTTCGTAAATTTGCATATTGGTTATTTTAAAGTGACAACATATCTTATGCAAATTTAGTACCTTGCACTTTTTAAGCTTATGTTCATATTTTGTGTTTACCCTCTACATGTTTTTTTTTTTCTTTTTTTTTTTTTCCAGTATAGAGCTAGAAGGAAGGACACTTACACCCAAATGGAATTGGATGAGGTGCGAGAAGAATTGGCAACTCATGTCCTAGAATGACTTTTTGATTGAGCTAAACATTCCTTCATTTTACATGTCTTTCTAGCTAGTATTTTGTGGTGTAGGGCTGGTAAATTTGTGATTTGGATGTGACAAGTATGGATAATTCAAGTATTTTGCGCATATATATATGTAGACAAGTATGGATATATTTAAATTACTGTTTATGTGAAACAATCAAAATACCTACCCTTTCCTTACATAAATGATGCCTATTGTTTATAACAACTTCAGTTTTCCAGAAATAACTGAAGTTGAAAGATAAAAACAACAACCAGACATCCATTATCACTGATGCCTAAAACGAGAAGTAGCATAAGCATTTATGTAACCACCAACACTATTGGAGGCTTTTCACGTCCGCAAAATAAAAAAAGCGATGATGTATAACATAATTCACAACACCATTATTTGTTTCTACGATGTTGTAATTGATAATATGCATCAACATAGTAGATATTACTGATGCTGTTAGACCTCTTTAGCCTCACCCCTTTCAAAACTACTGATGATGTTAGATCTCTTTAGCCTCCTCTCTTTTGAAAGTACTGATGCTGTTTCGGGTTTAGGCGTCATAAGTCAACCTTTTTTTGGCACCCGGAAATCATTTAGGCATCGGAGTTTACTTGATATCCGATGTAGTAAGTGATAAACAGCGGCGGAGAATATCCGTTGCCTATTACATAGGAATAGGCAACAGTCACCAATACCACGGTATTTATGTGTAATAGGCAACGGATTTTATCCGTTGCTAAAGCCCTTTTTTGGCATAGTGAGGGCAGCTCATGCTCAAAACCCAGTTGCAGGTTGGGTTTGGATTTGGGTTTTGAGGGGGTGGACTAAGGAGGAGGGGGAATGGGTTGCAGGAGAGAGGGAGAGACAAAGAGGAAGAGCTCTGAGAGAGAGGAATTTGGATTTGGATTTTTTATTTTTAAGTTTATTTATTTTATTATTATTATTATTATTTTCCAGATTTTTTAGTTTTTCTTTTCAGTTTTACAAACTGTATATTATTTATTTACCCCAAAAAGACGCTTTTACCCCTCATTTTAACAGATAAATTGACAGAATTGGATGGTAGGACCCAATTGCAACTAATTGTCTAATTAAAGGATGTAATTGCCACGAAAATTAGTTCACGGACCCAATTGCAATTGGGGCCATAGTTCACGGACGTCTACAGTAATTAACCCTTTATTTCCTTGTTTCTCTTGGTATTGGCCTCGGGTTGTTGTTTTTTTTTCACTTGATCGTTGGACTTTTTTCAACAAAACAATATTTAAAGTATAGGAGCAGATAAAACTCGATTATAAAAAGGCGGACAAACTGTTTTGATCAACTGTACTAACTCATTTATGCTTGTTCGTTAAATTTTGATTATCACAAACTCAAAGCCAATAACATTTTGCACAATTTTATTCTGTAATTAGGCCTTGTTTGGAGAGCAATTTCTTTAAACTACTACATTAGTAGGTCATTTTGCAATTCAAAGCATTTTAATTATGAAACTTTTGTTTGGTCAACAAACCTGTGTTAGTTATTAACTTTTTTTTTTATAGTTCTAATGGAATTGAATGATGTGCTTAACAATTATCAATCAAGATGGACATAGTAAAATTGATATAATGAAGTTGGTGGAAACAATACCAATGCTCATAAACACATATACGCTAATATTCAAAGTCTGAATGGAATAAATATTCAAACTACTAGTCATAAGTTCCGTATGCATTAGTGTTATTATTATTGTTTTTGCATATCGATTAAATTTGACAAAACTATCTTTGAATACATGCATTATGCATATGTAATTGATTGATATGCAACCAAAATACATAATTGCTGGCACATATCTACCAAACGGGCCCTCATCTTTTTGAAAAGAATTATAGGGCCTTAGGCACCACAAGCTGCATGTTCTTGAGTTAACATGTGTAGCATGGCCTTAGGTACTTCAAATTTTTGATCCTTATATCAGAAAACTTGAGCAACATTATCAAAATTATTGAGAAGAAAGGGAGGGAGACATGATAATGTGATTCCGCTTTTTGATCACAGCTTTGGAGAGGAATATAAATTTTATTGCATCTTTGTGTGACTTCAAAAATTCTGGAGTGTGGGAGGGTGGGGCGAAACGGAAAAAGAAAGTACATTCAGATTCCTTCTATGGCTTTCGACACCAAGAGAGGGTTCAATTTTTTATTATTATATTTTTCAAAAGTACATGCTGCACCAATCTTTATCTACTAAGAATCAGATTTTTTTTTTTT